GAGCGATTCAATTCATCTAAATGTTTTATACCCCAGCTGGCGTCTGGACAGAGTATCCCTTTAGATCCTTTATTCCAGTAGGTGATAAGACATAAATTTATATTTCCATGGGCGTTTGATAAGGTTAAGAAAACAGAATTGTGATAAAGACGTAATAACAAGTTTTGCAATCAACGGTGCATCACATCGCTCCATATTTGTACTACGAGAGATGCTGTTATTTCATATACTATTAGATAAGAAAGTCACTGTAGTCAAGTGCAAAACGTGCAGGTGGTACAAATGTTGTCTATGAATACCAGACTCCTTGCACTGAACTAGTGGAAGCAGATATTTAGAAGTCTATAAAAGACTCATAAAGGTGATCTCTAAGAGACAGATGCATATTTATTTTAATGAATTTAAAAAGTCATCAAAATTCTATATAGTGTTATATCTGGCACTGAACTAGTGGAATACCGTCGGTATTCAGTAGTATACTACCTCGCAGTTGTCATCTCTAAGAGAGATTCATTTTTGATTCATTTTTAAAAGGCATACACATTCTTTACAGTGTTGTACAGCGTATACACAGGTTATACAGTGAAATGTGTTGGGGAACCATTATCAATGAACGATGTACAGTAATCAAAGGTGAGATTGATTAACAAATAAATCCAACAGTCAAATATCAACTATTCCAACAGTATACCTGTAATTCTTACTACTTGATCCAAAATTGAAAGACAGGAAATCTGAAACACTGTCGCAAGGTTGATACTCATTTCTCACTTCGTGACCTGAATACCCGGTGATCAATAAAGTATATTTAATTGAAAACAAATCGTAAGTGTTAAATTAAAGTTTCAATAATGTTACTTCATCAAGTTAAAAGTATGGAGTGGGATTGTATTTGTCTGTGAAAGACCGTCCGTGTTTTAGGCATGATCTACATAATTACAAGTCAAAAGCCAGGTTTGATTAATCTTGTATCAGCTTTCGATTGGTCTGCTTTAAAAATGGTTCCGGCTGCCGGAGTGCGTCTTTGCCTTTAAATAGCGTCTTTGCTGCTAGTAAAACAAAATCCCGGATGTTTCGCTGAATTTCGGTCAAGGTTTCTTTCTATTAAGACAGGAATGCAACGTATCCTTTCTGTTACCATTTAACATTGCTACCTGTAGTTTGAATGCTTGGTCAGGTTTGTTAGTCGTGTTTCGGCAGGTTTTTTTATACTCGCCTCTCCAGGTCTCCGCTTTCCTGTCCTTTACGATCGTCCGAACGCCGAAGCGCAGAGCTCCCGTGTTGCGTGAGACTGGAGAGCTGGCCGGTGAACTCAAAGGTAAGAGAATCCAACTTGTCTACACTGTTTAGCGAGCCTCATGCTTTTAATTTTAACGCCTCCTTCCGAATAAACTGCTTTTTTTTTGCCTTCCGAAAAATGGTGCTACTTTTGTGTAGACAGGCGAGAGGCCAGACACTGTTCCAACAGGTACTGGAGCGCGAAACGCTTTTTTCTTTCCCTGTTCAAGCAGCAGCAGTCGATCCCGGAGAGCAGCCGGACTCACCTCGCGGTCCCAGGTTACCCACCGTCTCTCCGGCCGGGGCTCCAGTCTGCGGACCGCCTGAGCGATTTCCAATACTGTATCATAACAGCCGTCCTGGTTCCTCCTGTTCTGTATTTTCTTGTCCAATTTCTGCAATAAACTGTCCTCGGATTGTTTCTTAAAGGGTGTGTGGATTGCAGGGTTGGGTTCGGGTACCTGTAGTGGAGTTGCTTCATCTATGAAGAGCCAGTTTTCACACATGATCATCCTCCCATTTCTTTAGTCAGGGTGGCTGTCAGGCATGGAGCTCCAGGTGTTGCTTGTACAGTATGCACACAAAGGGAGGCTGCCTGCCAGTAATTGCATACTGTACTCTTCATCATAGATCTGCTGATCTCCCAGCCCCTTGTTAGTAAATATTGCTTTTGATCAAATTCGTGCTGATGAGCATCTGAAACACCAACTCCAGCTTTGAGCTCTGCCCCTGGCAGGTCTACCTCAGAGGGTAGAGGGGGGAGAAACTTAAAACTCAGAAAGGATAAGAGACTCCAATGTTAATTACAAAGTGCCTTGTGTAGGAATGATTAATACATAAACACATATTTGAGTGGGAATGCAAACATGTCAGAGAAGCTTAATGTGCTCTCTTGTGCCTGAACATACCATCAGCAAAATGATCACTGTGCTCTAGGACCAAATCAGGCTGTCCTCTGAAAGAGCATTGCACAGTTAATTGAGCCAGTTTGGTGCTGTAACACACACACCCTCACAATCTGCTTTGTAGCTCTGAACACTGCTCCACATTTAAGTAGACATTTTGAGGATGGACTCAAGTGAAGCAATTTACTAGTTAAAGATTAAAATGTGTATCTGCTGAAAGGAAGGAGCACCCAGGAACTCTTTAGATATTTAACTATAAGCCAGTGCCAGAAAAAAACAAACATTTTTAACATTCAAGTAATGGAATCCAAATCAAAAGCTCTTCCTCTACCAAATTTATACTGTTCACTATTTTAGGATAAATGTATATTGGATGTAAATCAACAGAGATTCTCCAAGAGATCCAACAAGATAAGATCAGCATAAATACCACATAGAAGAAAATTACCTTTTACTCAGAAAAGGTCATATTTCATAAGGAAAACAGTTCTTAGTTTGCTTACTAACCAAGTTCACATTTTCCTTTATTCATAAAAAAAAAAGCTGAACTGTGAACTGATTCTTTGAAATACAGGAGACATACAGAGATTCAAGGTTCAACACTCGTAACTGCAGGTGCAGAGCTATTACTGAAAACCGAGTACTGTATGTGTATCAGGTGATACAATGATCACTGTATTGTTTTCCTAGCAACCTATTTAATACCAACATTTGTTAAAAAAAAGGAATGTGATATTTAAGAATCCCCTGAAAGAGTTGTCCATAACTCCCTCTTAATGATGAAAGAAACTACTGTAAAGAGTGACCTCTTATGCAGGTGAAGCAGCAGACTATTGACTGTCCAGGTGGTCCTCATGATCCTCCCAGCTCAGGGGCTCAGGGGAAAGGCCTGTGACTGACAGCACTGTTGAGAATGAAGAAATACAATTATTCTTCCATCGGTAAAAATGAAAGCAGATTTGACAATGTGACAAGGCTTCTTAGACCCAAAAGTGCTATATACACATTTCATGTCCATGTCAAAATGTAGTAATTGATATTGAAAATCATTATAAGCCTAAAAACCAGTCTGTTTCATACAAGTATAGGTTAACAACCTGCCAAAACGTCCCACTGTATTACTCAGATATTTACTGGCCTTCGCCAGTCTGGTGTTACAGTGTCCCAGACACATATATATACAGTATATACAGACACACACGTTTAACTGCAGATACAAATATAATTCTCAGACTTCAAAACAAGTATTGACAGGTTTGCTGTAGATTGGGGTGTCAGCAGCAGGGAAGGAAAGTTGCTCAAGACCAGAGGACAACATCATCAATACAAAGCCTGCTGTTTAATTATTGTCTGTTTAATC